AAGTATTTGCCCAGGGATGGCTTCAAAACTCAATCCTCCTAATCTCTGCCTCCTTAGTAGCTAGGATTACAGGTGTGAGCCATCAGTGCCTAGCTGTCTGATGATTTCTTCAGGATAAATTTTAAAAGTAGGATTACTGGATTAAGGATACAAACATTCAAAAGGCTATTGATTCAAGTGGGTAAATCAGTCACTTGTAACACTGTTTATTCGAGGTATGAGAGTGTTCATCTGAAAAAAAAATCTCACAACAGCCTGATTATTATTTATAATGCAGAGTGGTTTTATTGGCCATTCTTTTGTTGATTGCCTGTTCATCTTCTTTGCATGTCTGCTTCTATTGGGGTGACTTTTTTCTTTTATATTTCCAAGCATTCTAATATAATAAGAGTTAACTTCTTATGTTATTTATTACAATTATAGCAGGTACTATCATTAAAGGGCCCAGGCTTTAGTCCCTATCTCAGTGACTTTTTGAAGTCTCACATAGTCTGATTGCTTGAGATATTATTTATGTGTTGATGTTTCCACCAGAACATACACTGCATGTAAGCCTCATGGGTACAACAGGGATTTTTTGTCCATTTTGCCCACTGTTATGCCACTAACACCCAGAACAGTACCTGCCACACAGTATAGGCTTAATAAATACTTGAGTGAATTGAGGTGGTTTTATTTATTTATGTATTTATTTACTTACTTGGTGGTACTAGTGTTTGAACTTAGGGCCTCTACTACTTAAGCCATTTTTATAATGAAACAGGCTAAGAGATAATAAATAGTTTACCAAAGTTTATGCAGCTAGGAAATGACAGAACTGGGATTCAAATACATAGTCTTAAATCTGATGTATTTGTTGGTGATTTTTGGTACTTTGTTGAAACCTGCCTTTTTTTTTTTCAGTACTAGGACTTGAACTCATGGCCTACACCTTAAGCCACCCCACCAGCCCTTTTTGTAATGAGTTTTTTCAAGATAGGGTCTTGAAAACTGTTTGCCCAGTCTGGCTTTAAACTGTGATCCTCCTGATTTCTGCCTCCTGAGTAGCTAGGATTACAGACATGAGCTACTCACACACAGCTTGAAACCTGCTTCTTAATAACTTCCACCACAATACACAGATGTGCATAACTGGGACTGAGTATGATAAACATGAGACATGATCATTTGGGGGAAAGCTGAGTACAAAGATGAGCAAGAGAGGGTTGATGTTAAGGAGGAACAGATTGGGACCTGATCATGGGAGCCCTTAAATATCCTCAGGAAGTTAGACTCCATTGCAGCCTTCAAATAGTGGAGACTCATTGTAGATTCCTGAACTGAATTGGGTAGATGGATGCTAGAGTTTCCAATCACCAGTTTGTTGCCTAGATTAGATAAAATTTTGTCTTCTTTTCCCCCACATCCTTGGGGGTCACTGATTTAATATGTTGAAGTAGAGTTGGTATCTAACTCCATATTTCTAGCCTCCAGTTCTTGACCTGTTCTTGACACCTTACTGCTTTGCATTCAAAGCAGCTCCCATCTCCACTACTAAGCCTGCATCTGTCAGGTGGAAAGAGACCCCAGCCAGCTGGTTAGAGTGTTCTTTCCCTTGTGAGGGGCTGAAGATATGATGACAAATTCTTCCTCTTTCTCTAGCCTTCATGAGAGTCTGCTCTAAGTTCTTTTCGAACAGATTACAACTTAATCACTTAACCACCAGCTATGTTTCCTCATGTTTTTCATGGCAGTTGACGACACTTTGCTCAGACACACACTTATTCACTTCTTGCTTCTTATTAAACTTGACTACTGTTCTCTAAATATATTTAAACTTAGTTAAAATTTTTAATTAATATTTTTCTTGTATTATACAAGCAGTACTATTCAATATAGAGGAAAAAAACTTTTAAGAAATCATTACCTCAAGGTGGTGATTAACCAATGTTAATATTGGTATCCTTCAAGACCACTCTTTAATTCATATCTGTGTGTATAATTTTTGACAAAATAGATCAACTTGTACTTATTGCTTTTTAGTCTTTTTTCAACTAATCCTTTGTAAAATTTTCCCCCTTTCTTTCCAGTGCTGGGGGGGGTGGGGCGCGATCAAACCCAAGGCCTCTCACATGCTAGGTAAACACTCTACTCACTAAGCTATGTCCCTAGCCCTTTTATGAATGCTGATTGCTGCTCATTTTTTTGTAGTGAATATATTTTATTTTTTAGAACAGTTTTAGATTTAGAGGAAAAACTTAGCAAATAGTAACTAGAGTTCCCCTTATAACCCTTGGCACATAGATCCCTTCTTGTTAATGTCTTGTATTAGTATAACACGTTGGTTACAAATTAATGAACCAGTGTGATACAGTATTATTAACCAATGTTCATACTTGATTCACATTTCTTTTGTTTTTACCTAATGCTCTTTTCATATATCAGGATCCCATCCAGGATACCATGTTACATTTAGTTGCCATATCTCCATGGGTTCCTCTGGGCTATTTCTCAACTTTCCTGTTTTTAATGACCTTGACAAACTGGTGCTTTAATCACTTGAGCCATTCCTCCAGTCACCGTGATAGTTTCGAAGAGTATTAGTCAGGTATGTTGTAGAATGTCCCCCTCCATTGGCATTTGATGATTTTCCAATGATTAAACTGGAGGTTGTATTTTTTGGGGAGGATGATCATAGAGGTAAAAATACCAATTCAGAGCTAGGAATGGTGGTACCCAGGTGTACTCAGGAGGCTGTGTACTACCATCCCAGCACTCAGGAGGCTGAAGCAGGAGAATTGAGAGTTTGAGCCCATCCTAGGCTCCATAGTGTGTTCAAGGTAAGTCTGAGCTACATAGCAAGACCCTGTCTCAAACAAACAAACAAAAATTATTTTTAAAATACCATTTCAGGGCTGGCGGAGTGGCTCAAGTGGTAGAGTGCCTGCCTAATAAACATTAGGCCCTGAGTTCAAACCTCAGTATTGTCAAAAAAAAAAAATCACATAAGGGCATATACTATCAACAGCTATGTTGATGTTGACCTTAGTCACTTGGCTGAAGTAATATTTGTCTGGTTTTCTCTACTGTAAAGCTAGTCACACCCTCCAACTTTCCAAAAGTGTATTGGACAAATCTTCCTGTATACAGCCCATCCATATTAGGGAGTCAAGAGTTATGCTCCTCCCCTTTTAAAGTAGAGTATTTACATATTTTATTTGAAATTCTGCACAACAGATTTGTCTTCCTCCCCCCATATATTTGTTCATTCAGTCATTTATAGCACTGTGGACTCATGGGTACATTTGGGGGTTATAATCCAATACCATGTTATTTTGTTGCTCAGGTTGTTCCATCTTTGGCCACTGGGGTTCCATTAGTTGGCTCTCATGCTCATTGGACATAGCCCCATCTATGGATTTGAATCCTTTCTTACTTTCTGGCACCTCAAGATGTTCCGGGCTCATCTTTATTTCCTGAGCTGATTCTAATCAGCCATTTTTCCAGGGAACCCTGATTCTTTTCCATGGTATTAGAAACCAAGATCTGAGGGTCGAAGGATATGACTTAGTGATAGAATTATTGCCTAGCGTGTATGAGTCCTATTTAATATCCCGCAAACTCCACACCAAAAGGGATCTGGATGCTAGGTGTGCTTATTTCTTTCCAGAGTTTTATTTGTTTTTTTTTTGTTGTTGTTTGTTTATTTGTTTTTGAGACAGGGTATTGCTTTATAGACCAGATTGGCTTGGAAGTCCCAGTTTTCCTGCCTCATTCTCCTTAGTGCTGAGATTGCAGGCATGAACCATTAGCCCAAACGATGTTTCTTTTTTTTCAGTTACTGGGGTTTGAACTTGGGGCCTCCAGCTTGCTAGGCAGCACTCTATGACTTGAACCATTCTTCCAGACTTTGGGGTTGGAGGCATGGCTCAAGTGGTAGAGTGCCTGCCTATTTAAGCACAAGGTCCTGAGTTCAAACCTCAGTAATGCAAAAAAAAAAAAAACCCAAAAAAAGGAGTTGCTGAGAAACTTTGCTGGTGGAGTGGCTCAAGCAGAAGAGTACCTGCCTAGCGAGTGTGAAGACCTGAGTTCAAACCCCAGGGTTTCCATAAAAAAATTTAAAAATAAAAATAACTGAAATATTCCCAGCCTTTGTTCTTTCTTCTTATTATTATTTTTTTCTTGATGGTACTAGGGTTTGAACTCAGGGACTTGCACTTGCTAGACAGGTGCTCTGTCAAGTTTCATTTTTATTTCCCATCCTTGCTTCCTCTGACTAGCTACTCAGGATTGATGACAAGAAGCAGAGTTCAGTTCAGTAGAAAGAAGAGTTTTCAATTCATCAGGGTTAATCACAGTGGTAGGGGCTGCCTTGGGAGAAGGGTGGCATTTAGGAAAATGCCGTGAGAGTGGAGTCTTCCATTGGGAGGAGTTTGGGTTAGATGACTTAGGAGGGTTCTTCCAGTTCTAAAATTGTGTGCTTCCAAGTGGTGTTCAGAGAGAGCAATTTGATAGTAATGTGTTTCCCCCCCACAAATGGTTGACAAAGAGATTGATGTCTTATCCCAGTGCCCCCACAGTGCCTGTCTTCCTAACCTTTCCATGTCAGATACTTAATGAATGTTTTGCTGACGTGCATTACATTGCATTGAATTAGGGCCTGGTTGAGTTTGGAGGCCAGAGAAAGGAAGAATTCAAAAGCCATATGTAGAGATGCAGAGAGCAATAAGCATCAAATAGTCTCAGAGATTTAAGGAAATTTTATCAAAGGGTCTAATCGCTTTCTCCTTTGTGCTCCAGTTATACTATATTGTAATTATCAGTCCTATTGAGACTAGGTCTTGTCCATGTTTATATTTCCAGACATTCTCTGCTTGGCATTATACTTTCTCAGTCAAAATTTGTTAAATGACAGGCCTTTCAGGTGTCATGGAGAGAAGACTGAGTGAGTGTCATACTTCTTGACTTCCTGTCTATTCTATTGTATTTCTTTTTCTCTTTGTTTTTGTCTTTATCAGGTTTTTCTCATTGGATCTTTGACTATACAGGCCCCCTCCACCATGGCCAGCCGGGGTGGGGGCCGGGGTCGTGGCCGGGGCCAGTTGACCTTCAACATGGAGGCTGTGGGCATTGGGAAGGGGGATGCTTTGCCCCCGCCCACTCTACAACCTTCTCCACTCTTCCCTGTGAGTGTCTCTTCTCCCTTCCCAAGACCCCCATGTGCCCCCGCTGACTGTATATGAGCCTGGATTATTCTGGGCCATCATAAAACCTCCCCTTGCCCTTTTTTGTCTATCTCCCAACTCACCTGGAATGTTTCGTAAGCAAAGAAGTGTCTACTTCTCACACTCCCAGCTCCCTATCTCTCACAATGCAGTATATCCCCGATTCTCTTTTCACCCAATGTTCACTGGGACAATTGGGTTAAATGGAGGGGAGAGGCCCTCTAATGTTTGTACTCCAGTATTTTCTTCCTGAACTGACCATTTTCCTCTCTCCTTAGCCTTTGGAATTCCACCCAGTGCCTCTACCCTCAGGAGAGGAAGGGGAATATGTCCTGGCACTGAAGCAGGAGCTTCGTGGGGCTATGAGGCAGCTTCCCTACTTCATTCGACCAGCTGTCCCCAAGAGAGGTCAGTTGAAATGCTAACAGGTATGCCAGGTATGGTTTGAGATCAGCTGGACAAAATAAGTTAGTGAGAACCCATCTCAAGAAAACAAGCTGGGAGCAATTGGCTCACATCTTTAATCCCACCTAGTGGGACAGGAATAGGTAGGTAAGATAATCACGGTCTGAGGTTGGTCCCAGGTAAAAAGTGAGACTATCTGAAAAATAACCTACAGTGGGGTGGAGGTGTGTCTTAAGTGGTAGAGTGCCTACTTTTTGAGTATCTGCTTTGCAAGTGTGAAGCCCTGAGTTCAAACCCTAGTCCCACCAAAAAAAAAAAAAAAAACTAAAGCAAAAAGGTCTGGAGGTGTGGCTCAAGTGGTAGAGCTCCTGCCTAGCAAGCATAAGGCCCTGAGTTCAAACCTTAGTACTACCAAAAAAGGAAAAGATAGAAATGCTAATATCACCTGCAGAAGGTGCCTTTTGTGCCCATATTCAGTACCATTGGGGGCACAGAAATACGCCAGTCTAACTGGAGAGATCATAGTAATTACTTCTGTATCTGAAATGCATTATAGTATTCACAATTTATTTTGGGTCTCTCAGTAGTCTTGGGACAGTGGGAGGTTAAGTATTAAGATTGTGTTTCACATGTACAAATAGGAGGGTATGTTAGATTTTTAAACAAAATTTAACAGACTTCAACCAATCAGAAAGACACTGGTGCTGGGTCTCTGAGCACCCTACCTAGGTAATATATTAACTCTTCATTTAGTGAGTCATATGGAGGTCAGTGAGATCAGGAGGGACTAGAGAAGGGAGCTAGTCCCTCCTATTGGAAGGCTTGGAATCATGGATATTTACCAGCTGTCATGAAAGTGCCATATTGCAATGTGTTGACAACTGGTGCTTTCCTACTGAAGTCCTGGAAGCTGAGGCTCAGAGAGCTCAAAGTCTTAACCTCATTGGCAAGGTGTAAAGAGAAGACTGAAACCCTGGTTTCCTGTTCCCTCAAATACTTTTCAGTACACCATAGCAATGTCTTTGAGCTAAGGAAGAAAGAAAAACTGTCATAATTTTGGGTAGCAAATGGACAGGTTAGAAGAGCTATGAGGTCTTCCCTGAAGCTGACCCTCAGGCTCTGGGTTTAGGGTGAGGGGACAGATAATTTCTTAGAATTGACAGGGTGGACCCCCCAGGAACAACCTTGTTCTAGGAATAAAACTTTGTGACTCAACCTCTGACCCCTCAGATGTGGAACGGTACTCGGACAAATATCAGATGTCAGGGCCGATTGACAATGCCATCGATTGGAACCCTGGTAGGTGATGGGACCTTTCATTGAATGTCCTTCCTTCAAATGCTTGATATGCCTCAAGCCACCACCACCTCCACCGCCATTGTCCCCACTCTCCCCTCCCCACGCAGCAACTGTAAGCTAGAATCTTAGATATACTCCAGAACACTCTTGGAGTTGACCTGAACAAGCTATTCAGTCGCCCCAGCCCTCCAAAGGTATCAAGTCATAGTTTTGTTCTGAGGAATTTTAACCCAACCCCTTCCTTCCTCTCCTTTGAAACTTTCACCTCTCCCTTAGGTCATCAATCACAGGAAGACCCAGGCAGGGCCCTATTGACACTCACACTCTTACTATTTCCAGATTGGCGACGTCTACCAAGAGAACTAAAGATTCGAGTTCGGAAGCTACAGAAGGAGCGTAAGTGTTTTCTGGAAAAGGAGGGAGAAAAGAAGTTTATTTTGTCAGCTAGAGGGGCCACTCCTTCCTGTTCCTACTCAATCCAAGAATCATTACTGGGGATGGTGGAGTGGCTGATGTGATAGAGTACCTGCAAGTGTGAGGCCCTGACTTCAAACTTTAGAACCACCTGCACCAAAAATAAAGAAATAAAGAATAGAAAGAAAGAAGAAAATGTTGCTGGATGCCACAATGGCCACGTGAGGGCAGCAGAGTGGCGTGTTTGCTGCAGAAGGGTCCTAGCAAGGATATATGCTATCTAATGGGTACACCTTTTGATTCCCCACCAGGAACCACCATTCTGCTCCCCAAGAGGCCCCCAAAGACCACAGAGGATAAGGAGGAAACAATACAGAAACTGGAGGTGAGGAATAAATGTACACAGAGGACTGCTGGGCCCCGGATTCATTCCCCATTTGGTGGGCCCCACATGTACCTCAAGTTTTCCTTTCTGTTAGCTCAGCATGAGTTTCTCTTCTTATTCATCTTCACATGAGACCCTGGAGAAGAAGGAGGAAGAAGTGACTTCAGAGGAAGATGAAGAGAAAGAAGAAGAAGAAGAAAAGGAAGAAGAAGAAGAGGAGGAGTATGATGAGGAAGAACATGAAGAGGTGAAGGACACCCCTTTCCTTCCCCTCATATGCTCTGGGTTCTCAGCTCTTTACACCAGAGATGTTATGCTCAGAGGGCTGCAGGGCCAAAGAAGATAGTGTAGGGGGCTCCCCTCTGCTTAAAATGAACTACAGCTGGAAGGGATATCCCAGGCCTGGGGTGGTATGATAGGGAGGGAAGGGGCCTGGTGTAGAGGGAGGAAGGAGAATGCTGAAAGCATGCCTGACTTTTACTTCCTTTTTCTATTTCAGGAAACTGACTATATCATGTCATATTTTGACAATGGAGAGGACTTTGGGGGTGACAGTGATGACAATATGGATGAGGCTATATACTGAAGAAAGTCCTAAGAAATACCCCAGGCCTAATATCTTTCTTGATTTGGGATATAGAGACTAATTGTCCCTGTTATTTAGTTTTATGGACAAAACAAACAAACAAAAAAAAACCCCCATGAACTCTAATGACTATGCCTACAATCCTAGCTACTTTGGAGGCTAAGATGGGGAGGATCATGGTTCAAGGCCAACTTAGGCAAATAGGTTGAGAGACCCCCATCTCCAAAATAACCACAGCAAAATTGGGTGGAGGCGTGGCTCAAGCTATAGAGCACACCTGCTTTTCAAGTGTGAAGCCTGCATTCAAACCCCAGTCCCACCAAAAAACAAACACACAAACAAAAACCCATTTGGATAGAGTCCAAATAGCCTGTTTGGTCCCTGGAGTTAGGAATGGAGAATGATGGCAGATAGCTTTCTTTTCTACTTGTCCCTACCTCCCATCTTTGTAGCACTTCTGATATCCTAAGGAAAGGACCAATGTCTTAAAAGTATGAAGGGAGAAAGAAGAATTGGAAAGAGTAACTGGGTTGTTAGAGCTGGGACAGCGGCACATACATCTCTACTCAAGTTTTACAGGTTTTTGTGGACCTATTTGGGGGTGGCAACAGTTAGGGCAAGTAAGGTTGGTTTTATATTTTTAAATAAAGTGTTTTTATTGTCTCTGTCCAAGTTGAGGTCTGGTGGGAAAGGGCTGGAGGAAGGGCCAAAGGGGATGTCCAGCTGAGCCATTCTCTCTTCTCCAGTATGATACACTGGGAGTATAGCCTTTTTGTCCTTTGTCCCTTCCCTTTCACTTCCATGGTGGGACATGACTCACAACCTAGCTCTGCTAGAGAATATTCAGGAACTGATCAGCAGGACTTTGTGAAGTTGTGGAGAACAGCCCGTGTCTCCAACGGACCAGCTGACTTTTAAGCCTCTGGTCCTTAGGCTACAGGGGCATGTTCACACATGTTTACAAGAATACAGTCCCTGACTTTCCCACACTTGACCTTGATCATGTCCTTATTTACAAAGAATGATTACAGTGATGGAGAAAATCAAGAAAGCAAGGTGCAGGGAGGGCGGAAGGAGGAGGGGCCGGTTCTTAATCAGTAAATGCAGTTCTCTTCCAGCCCTGGAGACCCCACTTTGAAAGGTATGCCTGTGTAGCGGGAGCTCCCTAAATAGCCCATTCTCCACTTGGAAAACCAGTGTTTGGCTTACAGTTTCTCTTTTGGTTCTTCCCTTTGTAGAATCTAGTTAGCCTTTCTCATTTTCTTCTTTGGGGAGGGGAGTAGGTGGTGTTATTTTACAGGAAGTAAAGAGGGTGGGGAGGAAGAGAGTGACTTAGGGACACTCACAGCTCTGAGAGATACTTCTTCACACACACAGTTCTCCCTTGAGTGAGATCACTTACCTAGGCTCTGATTGGCTTCTGAGGAAGCCTTTAATGAGCTGATTGGTTTTAGTCGCTTGACATGCAACAGTCACGGGTAAACTGCGTGTCCAGAATAGGAACTGAACAAGGAGCCATGCATAGATAGCTGGGATGCTCTCACAGAGGCCCTCCAGAGCACTTGAAAGTCATAAGATGGGATGTGGACCTTCAAGAAATTTCCCAACTTCATTTAGGCAGGCTGACTGAATTCACTACAACATCAAGTGACAGAGACTGGTAATGATTTCTGACCCCATTGTAAAGAATGAAGAAGGGCTATGACTCCATTGAGCATCTTAAAAGCCTACTTTAAATGTGATAGTGTTAAGATATAAGCAGCCAAGTAAACAGAGAACAGAAATAGAAACTGAACATTCCAGAGTTATTGAGTAATTTGTGATGATTGCCATATTTCTTTTTCTAGCTATCAGAGGTGTGGTGTGAGTGGAGGAGGACAGAGGTGCCAGGAAATCCAATGGGTTTCCCATAGTTATACTTCAGACTGGGATTGTAGCAAAAAACAAAAGTAGAAAACATGGAAACTTTTCCTTTTGCTTTTCTCCTCTGCATGTGTCCATGTATGTGTGCGCGCATGCGCACACACAGACACACACACACACACACACACACACACACACACACAAAATCAGTCCTAACCTGGTCAATTATATCTGTGTTTATATTAGGGGCACAGCCACTTACTAAATCCCATCTAATGTTACTCTTGGAACTTAAAAGAGTAGAAACAAAGATTCTGGACAAGAGACCATAGGGAAGAGCTAGCACCACATCCCCCCCCCGCCCTCCCACACACACATCCCTTTCCCTCAAAACTGGGGAAAGGAGGACAAAGGTTGGGATGACCATGTAGGATCAGTTGTACTGCTTCAAAGACAAGGTATCAGAAAGATCAGACCATTCTTAGACTCTGCCCTGCCTAGCCTCTTGTCTTCCCTGGCAGGTGACCTTTCTGGACAAAGGCAGTGACACGAGACCCAGCAGCTTACCCAGACTCTGGAGCAATTCCAGGAATGAGCTAGACTATTTCCATTGTCCTTTCCCCAACTTACCACAGGTACTATTGGGCAGACAGAGACTGGAGCCTAAGCTTTAGGAGACAGGGTCAGGGTGAGACCCTGCTTACAAATATTTACAGAGGACCCTCCAGTGCTTATCATTCCTGTACTATATCTCTGCTATGGCCTGTTTATTTGAATAGATTGTTTCCATGCCCACAGTCTAGGCTGTACTGGCTCCAGGCAGAGTAGGCTCTATGGCAAGAATCCTATCCCCCCACCTTTTTTTTTTTTTGCAGTACTGGAGTTTGATCTCAGGGGCTACACCTTGAGCCAGTCCACCAGTCCTATTTTTGTAAAGGGTTTTCAAGATAGAGTCTCAAGAACTATTTGTCCTGGCTGGCTTCAAACTGCAATCTTCCTATTATCAGCTAGGGTTATAGGTGTGAGCCACCAATGCCCAAATAAGAATCCTTTCCCTCTTGACCATGTTTTACCCCTAGCCTCCAAGTCCTATCCCAGCCTGGGCAGGCAGCTTGAGAGTGGGAGTCCACAACCAGTGTAAGAACCCAAGTGATTTGAGGGAAGCCTGATTGGGACAGCCAGAAGGAATATGCAGTTTAGGCTGAGAGTGGAAACCAAAGAAAATTGGAGAGTTGTAGGTCAGATAGAGTGATTGGGCCCCTGCGGTTTGATAAGGACAAGAGAGTTGTTTTCCTCAATTCATTTTTATGGTTGTATGTACTTTGAAAAGAAGAGTGGTTTGTATGCATAGGCTGGTTAAGAACTAAGTCAGGGGAAGGGCTGCTATCTCGACTGGGCCAAGACTGTTTTTATTGTTCTAGTGTTGTCTATACCATAGTTTTGTACACTTGGGAAAGTCATGTCCAGTCTCCATGCCTCAGTTTCTTTATGTGTGCTCTATGATTTTAGACTAGATGTCCACTAGGAATCCTTTTAGCTCACATAATTGGGCTGATGCTGATCCACCTGCAACAGTCTAAATAGTTCTGAGAATACAGGCAGGATGTGTTTTGCTGAACTAATTCCATCCGCTGGATTTTCCCACCTTATTTTCAGCCCAGGCAAGCTAAAGATACCTCAGGCATCTAGCCAGTCGTTTCCAAGAACCTCTTCAGTCAGAGTAGCAGGGAGGTCAGCAATTCCATCAACTAGCAAGAAAGGAAAAAAAAAAAAAAACTGCAGCTGAGTTCAAGGCCACAATCTGCAAGTCAGTACTCAAACAAGCAGACCACCAAAGATTACTGAAGAAGGGATTGGAGGGGCAGGTCCTCTCTATCTCTTGTTAAATACCATGTCTGGCCAGAGGATGGAGAAGATAAATGAATTAGACAGGAATAACTAAGTTAGGTATTATAGTCAGACTAGCAGCAACCTCTTCTCTACTGACTTTTCCCCTACTTAGGCCCACTTTTTCCCTCAAGGTCATTTGAAATCATGAACCTGGAAATTTGGAATTCCAATTTCTTGGTATCATCTCAGAGTTGTTTTTGCATTATCCAACAGGCCTTAATTTGCCTCTGTGAAACCTGTATAACCCAGCAACCCAAATGGAAATCAGTGGGCAGACCCTGATCCAACCCTAACTGCAGGACTGGAGAGGTTAGGTGCACTAATCTTGGGAACCCAAAAGGTTGGGAAAGGATTCCTCAGACCTAATCCTGACCATGACCTCAGAGTCTATGACTATTTTTATTCTCAAACCTCCTAGGATTCTCAGTTATGGGCTGTGCTCCCCAAAACTAAGACACCTGCCTCTTTCTCAATGAAAAAGGCATTTCTTTGTATGTGCAGAAGAAAAGGGAAAAATATCCAAACGTTATATCTAACACTGTTATGCTCAGGGCAGCACTGATAGTACTGAAATAGGAGAAAGGGAGTTAGACCTATCTCTGTCTTACCAAAATGCACAGGGAACAAAGCCCACCTAAGTTGGGGACACAAATATGACATTTCTTATGGAGAGAATAGGTGAATCCCTATTTGGACTGGAAAAGAAGCTCTGGGTACTCATTGTTCTTTTGCTAGAGATGGAGCCATTTCCAAGAGGAAATTCCATCCTGTAAATTTAAGCTTTTATCTCATTTTTCTCAGGCAAAGGGGTAAAAGGAGTGAAACATAGGTGGGCTCTGTGGAAGAAGGGGCAAATGCTGACCAGCCTTTTTCTAAATACTCCATTTCCTTTCCCTAAGCCTTTCTCCGAGCACTCGGACAATCTTTCCAGTTTGACCATACTTGGCTGCTGTTGGTCGGTCACCTCTCGCTTACTTGGCCTGGCTCCTGATTTGGGTCTGCTTTCCACTCTGAGCCACCACTCTGACACCTGTCCTGAGATGTCAGGGATGTCTACAAACTTCTCAGGAGATGGATTAGGGCCTGGCCAGGAGGTGTGTCTTAGAACCAGAAAGAGATCATATCATTCAGACCCGTTCTTGTCCTTCAGATAGTTTTCCTCTTCTTCACTCTTTCCATGTTTTTTCCTCTATGATTCTCTCATACCTCGTGCCTTTAATACTATGCTATTTAAATTGGATTATTCATGGGGTGATGTGGTGAGGACTATTTGGAGTGCAGAATACACATGGCACATCTTCCTGAGTGTCAATTTTACTTTTAAGACTTGGTGGAGGGCAGAGCATGGTGATATACACCAGTAATCTGAGCACTCCGGAGGCTGAGGCAAGAGAATCTCATAGCAAGACCTTTCTCAAAAAAAAAAAAAAAGC